AATTAGTGGTAGATTATCAATAAAAGCAGTGGTAGATTTCTGGAAAAGTGTGGTTGAATATCTGTAGTTAAGTAAAAATTTGCCAAAAAAAGATATATCAGACCATGAAGTAGTATTCAAAATGTATGTAAACTGCATTCTCAGTTTTGTTCTATCGCGCAATTTTTTCGAGATATTTGAAGAAGGTACATATATCTTTGTCATAAAAAAAGATCTTATTTCTAATTTTTACTATAAGTTCTTAAGTGTTGTTGTCTGTGGAAATACTGTTGGTAAGCAACTACACAGGCGTAATCTCAGGCGATGTCGAATCTCTAAGAAAATCGCCTCATGTAAATGCAGATTATCCTTCACGCACGCAATAGAAATTTTGAAACGGCAGCACCTTCAGCTCTTCAACTTGCACAAAATTCATAATAAATTTTCTTGACATTTAAAGTCATATTGAGGAGAAAATTGACTTTTCAACTCTTAAAAAAAAAAAAACATTTTCCAATTAGGTAAATAATTTTATTTCAATAAAATTGTGGTAGTTTTTTAACATACATATGTGGTAGAAGCGAAAAATGACCTAAAATGTGGTAGATCTACGACAATTGTGGTAAAGTGTCAACACTGTTTTTAATGATTAAAATTTATAAAATGAATCCCCCTAATGGCACAGTTTAAACGCACTGTCTAAATTATAATGTTACTTATATTTAAGTTGTGTGTTTGTTGATAAAGAGATGCTTGTATAATTGTTTACAACATATGTACATACATAAATTGCATGCATTGATGGTTTCAGATAAATAAATATGTACACGCATAAGTGATGAAATTATACATTCATATGGATGTGATTTTTTTCTTTTGGCGGATTTGGAGGAGAGGAGATAAGTGGAGGACAATTTTTTCTCTGTAAAAAGTGCAAAAGCTCCTAGTTAATGTAGTCAGACGGCACTCGAGAATGAATGCAATTCAACCAGGGCTCGGAAATTCTCATTTATGATTATTCGTTTTCATTCATTTATGAGATTTATCGCGATCGATAATATTTCAAATCAATTTTTGCATTGTATTATCGCGAGTGAAAAATGCAAACAAATTTATCATCTCTCACATTCGGAATGCGATCGACAAAAAAATTTCATTCGCGATCGAAAAAAGCAAAGAAATTTCCTCTCAATCGAATATGAGAACTCCGAGCATTGCCGATTTCGGCCTCTCATAAATGAGAAAAACGCACTCATGCATCCTCTCGGAAATGGTACAAAAGTCATCAAATAAAAGCTGTTGAGTCAACAGCTGTGGAGATTATGGTGGTTGGCTACCGCACACAAATATAAATATGTACTCTGCATGGCTTTTTACAATGGCGAGTCCAAAAATTCACTTTGCTGCACACCTTTTTGGTCTACATGAAATTGCAAACACTGTTAATACACATGAACCAAAAATACATGTGTCTTTCGTTCATGGTTAATACATCCATTTTTTCTTGTGCTAAAAATCGTACTTACCTAAGGGCTACATGTTCAAAATTATTGCGTCGTGTTCCTAATTAATCAATCTTTGTATATTTATTGATTTCTGCAAAATTGGGCTATTAACTCAGTTTTCTGCATTGTTTACATAATTTTATATGCGTTTTGGTATTTCTCTCTTGCAATTGCACCAAGATGACGTCACGCAAAAATTACGCTCAAAAATCCTCTCATTGGCGCAATCTTGTATTCTATCATTCTTGGATTTTACCCCCGAGGAGTACTCAAAAAGGTTTATTACTGTATATACTGTGTTTTGTACTGATTGTCAATGTGCGTATGATTTGTTATTGTAATTTTTTGTTTTTGTTCTGTTAACACCACCTTGTATAAATTCGCCTTGTTAGCTTCCTAGTATACAACATAATCGATAGTCTAAATGGGATAGAAAATCATCGTATATTTACGATCTCTAATATTTGCACCAATAAGAAAATGTCAAAAGGCCGATAACAAAAAGCAAAAGCAAAAAAGAAAAACAAGGGCAAAGTCACTTAAAATTCTACATAATTAAATTTCTCACCTTTTGTTCAAATTAAATTATTCTCCTGCAATCAAAATATTGCTAATACTAAAATCTCGAAAGGAGTAATATGGATTTCCTGTTTGCTCCTCTACCAGAAACCAATTGTAAGTTTTGCTAATATCTAAAAGATACAAAATGCACATTTGTATGAATGTGTGTATTTAAAATACACTTGTTTCCATTAATATTTACAGTCCAAATGAATACAGAAGAGTTGCGTTTATGGCAACGAAATGCCATATTTGAGTGTGAGTGCGATAATTTTATTAACAGGCGCATTGAAGCTAGACAAATGCACCAAGTGGCACCACAACATCGGCCGCTCTTCGAGCTATATGGAATCGATGCTGCAATACAGCAACATGGATTAAGGCTGCCGGGTGCTCATGGTAATATTGAACAGCGCAATAGCAGTATCAATATCAATCATCGTGTAGACGACGACGATAACCGCGCGGATGCTAATGCCAACATAGCAGCACCACTTCGTCAGCGACGTAGACTTATGGCTACAAATGCGTCGGATCAGGATCGTGACAATATGCTCGATAGACTTTATCAAGAGGCTTTATTTACAGCTTTCCGTACGCGAGGGCTAAGTGCCATCCGAAATCCCTAATGCTTATGTCGGGATTTTGCACATAGGGTGGGCGAAGGAGGCAGAAGTGCCGATAATTAGATTTATCTTTCAGTGTTATAGTCAATTAAGCGATTTCCACAGAATTGAAAATGTAATAAGTAATTTTTAAGCGTGAAAGAAAGCCGACTTTCTCATATAAAAATTTAAGAGTACCTTTAATTTCTTCATGATGCAATGATCGATCTTATTAAATAAATAATAATAATAATTAACCAAATTAGTGTGACACCAACTCTGAGGTACCACCTTTCCTTTTAAAAGGAATTATATAAATCGGTTAAAGTGATCCAAAATCATGCGGTAACATACATAAAAAAGGCAGTGTCTACACACGCTCTACATGGTAACTTTTACCGTAGCTCTACTGTAAAATCACGTGGATTATATGTTGCCGCAGAAGTGGGTTAGAACTTCTTTAGCTTAGGCCGACTTCGGCCGAACTCAAGGATTATAACCCTTACTACTCAGAATTCTCCTTTCTGTGTTGCCGGAGAAGTGTGACAGAACTTCTTGCGCCGTAATTTTTACCTTGGATCTACGGTTAAAGTTACCGTGGCGCGTGTAAATAGACACTCCCTAAAAAAATATTCCGACGAATTGTTAACCTCCTTTTTTTGAAGTCCGTTAATAATTAATTGGATTTGTTTTTGTTTGTCATTGCTATTTTAAGGGCATTTATAATAGGTTTGCTCCTCAAGCTACTCGAAGTCACTTCGAGTTACACATAAGCGTTTCCCAAGTAAGTTTTAGAGATTATACGCTGACAGTTTGAACTTTCCTCGAGTTTTTCTACAAGTAGCTGCACTTCCTTGGCCTCCCCTTAGCTGAAATAGACGACAACGTTGATGGATGAACCGACCTGAGCATGGCTTGGTAGCCGTTACAACAACAACAACTATAGGGATCGTTTATATATGGACAAAGGACTTAAGCGAACCCTTATTTGTCGACAAGATATCTCTTTCATCACACTATCCATTCAATGGCTTTAACTATATCGAACCCTTAAATATCACTCCTTGCCGATTAACGGGTTTTTATATTGTTAGACTCGTAGCAAGTGTAAGGGCCCTGTCACACGTTCAGTATTTATTGACGTGATCCAAGTATCGCGATATTTATTGACGGTGTAGCTTGCAATATTGATGGTGCGCGATGCATATTGTAAAATTACAAAGAATGTAGTACCATTTTTATTATTGTTTCTCAATCTACGGTATTGTGAACGAAGACCAAGAAATATAGTTTTTTTTTGCAGTGCAGGTAAAATCGGCTTTGTAAACAACACTGTCCGGCAAGAAGAGGAAGAACGTGGTGAATTCTTACACCATGGGAAGTATTGGAAGCAATTTACCAGCTGATGAAATAGCGGCTTGTGTTGTTCAAATAGATTTGTTATTGCTCCGTGTGGTTAGTTAAGTAGTTTTTTTTTGTGGCGAGAAAAAAATCCGTTGCTTTTATGTACTCTGATTAATTTTGTTTAAACTATTCCTTAGACAAGAAAATGTCTTCTTTAGAACGAGAATCTGCTGTTCTTAGTGAAATGGTTTGTGTAATCAGTCAATAAAAAATAGTTGAGTGGACACAAGTATTTTTATTTTCATTTGTAGGAGCGTCTGACAGCCCACTTGCGAACGCAAATAGAAAATACGAAACGTGGCGAGGTGCTTGATTTTGAAGATGAAGAGTACACAAAGTTGCAAACTGAGAACATGAAGTTAAAGCATCGATTAGCGATTTTGAATAAGGTTAGTCACTTTCAATTTTATATCTTTATTCGCCGACATTATAGAAAATTTCATCATTGCAGGCTATTGTTGCAGAGCAAAATGCCGCACCCACTGCTGTTGCTAAATATGTGCCACCTGCACTGCCAACTACCGTCGATGCAATGATTTCAATTGCTGAACATCTTACAGATTTGTTTACAGACGCCATCGCATCGGCATTTCCGCAGCTGGCCGGCACTTCAGCTATTATATCACCTGTGAATGCAACTGCCGCTAAATTTGGTGATTATCAGTGCAATAGTGCTATGTCATTGGCAAAAACACTAAAGGCTGCTGGCGCAAATAAATCACCCAGAGATATAGCAAACGAAATAGTTAAGCATGTTGCACAATCGCCACTTGTAGCCAAAACTGAAGTTGCAGGTGCTGGCTTCATTAACGTGTTTCTTAAAAAGTATAATGTTTATTTTTATGTTCGTATAAATGGTATAATTAATTTTTGTATCAAATGTAGGGATTACGCTGTTCGTGCGATCTCCAACCTTTTACGGTCTGGCGTTAACCCGCCAACCTGCCGCAAGCAACGCATTCTCGTGGACTTTTCATCACCTAATATAGCCAAACAGATGCACGTCGGTCATTTACGTTCGACGATTATTGGAGAGTCCATTTGTCGTTTGTTGGAATTTCTGGGGCACGATGTTCTACGCGTCAATCACTTGGGCGATTGGGGTACACAGTTCGGTATGCTGATTGCGCACTTGGAGGACCGTTTCCCAAATTTTCTGCACGAAAGTCCTCCGATTGGCGATTTGCAAGCTTTCTACAAGGAATCAAAAAAGAGGTGGGTATTGTTCGTAGTGAATACACATAAGCGAAAAGAGAAAAGTGAACGTTTCGATCAAAAATGGGGCTAATGAAAGCCGTTTGTTTGGCAATTAAGTAAGAATCGATATTTGTGAAAGACGCATTTAATGTTTACAATTTGCATATTGTCTTCCTGCACGGAAGATTTTAGCCCGAAAATTATTCTGCATCATTTGGTAAAACATTATTTTTTTGAGTTATGACAGTCTTTTAGTTAGAAAGCGATATGTACAACTGCAACCCTTTAGTTGCTCTTTTCGATATTCTCTTATATTTGAGTTTTTCAAAGAACTTAATCAGTTTGAGCTTTTGGAAAGATATATTACTCGTCAACTTGTGTTTTCTTCAGATTTGACGAGGACGAGGAATTCAAGAAACGTGCCTACAATTGCGTAGTACTGCTGCAAGGCGGGGACCCGAATTCAACAAAAGCATGGACTCAAATATGCGATGTATCCCGTGAAGAGTTCCAAAAAATCTATGACCGATTAGACGTTACAATTACTCCTATCGGCGAGTCTTTCTATCAGTCACGCATGATAGAGGTTGTAAAGTTTTTGGAATCAAAGAACCTACTCGAAGAAGACGATGGCCGCAAAATTATGTGGGCCGATGAAACATCTTCTGGCATACCTTTGACAATCGTTAAGTCAGACGGGGGCTTCACATACGATACTTCGGACATGGCAGCAATTCGTTACCGATTAGAAGAACAAAAAGCCACATGGTTAATTTATGTTGTAGACTCTGGACAGAGCACACATTTACAAAATATTTTTCGGGCTGCAGAACGTGCAGGCATTTTCAATCGCGAACTACATCGTGCCGATCATGTTAACTTCGGAGTAGTGTTGGGCGAGGATGGCAAAAAATTCAAAACGCGTTCTGGAGAGACAGTGAAACTTTCTGATCTACTAGACGAAGGTTTGAAACGTGCGCTGGATAAATTGCTGGAAAAGGAACGAGACAAGGTGCTTACACCGGAAGAATTGCAAGCAGCACAAGAATCGGTAGCTTATGGCTGCATAAAGTATGCCGATTTAAGTCATAATCGCACCAACGAATATGTATTCTCCTTTGACAAGATGTTGGAGGATCGCGGCAACACAGCCGTGTATTTACTCTATGCTTTTACACGCATTTGTTCCATTTCTCGCAACTGCGGCGAGGACTTCTCGGACCTAGCTAAAGTGCTTGACAAAGGTGTCGCTATTGAATTGGAACACGAAAAAGAGTGGAAGTTAGCCAAGACATTATTAAAGTTCCCCGATGTGTTGATTAAAATATCAAAGGATCTGCTTTTGCATACACTCTGTGAGTTCTGCTATGAAGTTTGTACTGTGTTCTCTGAATTCTACGACAGTTGCTATTGTATTGAAAAGAATAAAAGTGGCGAGATTCTTAAGGTTAACCACGGACGCATTTTGCTATGTGAGGCTACAGCTGCTGTGTTAAAACAGTGCTTCTACATCTTGGGCTTAAAGCCTGTTGCTAAGATTTAAAAAAAAAACACTACTACACAGTCCATCTCGCACCATAAAAATTAAAAGAATAAAATTCAACAATATTTCATAACGCGTTTTTTATTTATATTTGGTATGAATTGCTGTATGAGGTTATTTGTATGTCCCAACATAGTCCGTGTTCTTGAAATGAAAATCTCTGAACCCTTTTTAGATCATGTGAACCGTTTATTATGAAATTTATTTTTGAATATCGTGACTACTATTTTTTTTTACTTTTTCATAATATGCATAATATGATGCATATTGAATGATGAATTTTGATTTTTTTATTAGTTACTTTTTGTATTTCAGCGACGATGTTTGTAATATCTTTTTGCATTTCAGGCGACGATATGCATAATAATAATACGTATTAGTGGAATATATGTATGTATTATTCATACATTTTTTCATTTTCAACCAGAAAAAAATGAGCAGTTTAAAACGAAAGCCTGTTGCAGTTTGGTTTTCTCTCTTGGGGGAATTTTTATCAGTATTAGCACCATTGCCACTTTCCCTTGACTTTTTTGTGGTGATGTAAACAGCTGATTCATATTTATTTTATGAAAGTGTTTGAAGTTTTGCTTTTGCAATGGACAAAGGAATTCCCTTTGTGGAACTTCTGGAGCGCGCAAATGAAAAAGTTGAACTCGGCCATGAGTTGATTGAAGAGTTGGAAGAGTATACTCAAATTAGTGGTGTGCAAAAAATTCAGAGAAAAATCAGTCAGGAAGTAAAATTTTTGAAGAAGGTATACTTGGGAAAACTGGTGTTGGCTTTTAAGAAATTAAAGAGTATTGTATTCCACCAGGTCATTAAAAACGAAACTCTGAAGCTCAATCACGTCCAATGCAGTAATCTGACACACTACGCCTTCCTGGTGCAGATTTTGAAGCTACAACGAGATGTAGTACATGTGGACTGTGGTTTTCCAGTTGAGGGTCGAAGTAATCCGCTGCGGGTGGATATTGTCTGTGATAATGGCTTAAGATGGATCAAAGGTAAGTGCTAATAAAAGTTTCCGACATTCAACCAAAATTACATCTCCCACACAGCAATTGCTCGTAATTCGAAGTCATTGTCTGATGCGGCCAAAGGTGCGGCAAGCTATGGAGCGCGTAGCATATTAGATCAAGCGCAGGAGTTCATAGACGCCAGCGCACAACACTTGTGCATGTTTAAGCCGCCGAAAGTATGCATACCATTTCTGTTTTTTTTCTTTTTTCTAATACAATGCAAATTTTAGGTGGTTTTCTATTTCAGTCAAACCATTGACAATACGCTCCTTGTGGAACTGCAAGAGATCGGTATAGAAATAGCTTCGGTTGCCGAAACTTCCGACTGTGATCAGAGTGCAGACGTTTTAAATGTAAGCACTCTAAATATCGATATAACCACGCTATTGGCGTATATAAGCAATGTTTGCAATGGCAGTTGCAATTGGACATTCCAAGAGCCCATACTTACCGAACAGGCAGAAAAAGAGCGGCAAGCGCCATTGAAGCCACTCTTGGATAATCTGTTTGAGGGTAAATAGACACATATAACGTGAAATTAAATTTATAATTGTATTAATTTTATGTTTTTTTTTTTACAGGAAAACGCCTCATTTGCTGCGAAACTGCGTACAAATCATTTGAAGAGATAATTTATTTACTGGCCGGTCCCCAAGAACATCAACGCGCTGCAGAGCTAATGAAACGTGTAGAAGTGTTACCCGACGTGGCTAGTGTGCCCGATGAATTGGCTGTGATTAAATTTAGCGGTAAAATAAATCAACGAAGTTTAAAGATTTTCGCATTTGGCATGCAAATGAAAGCGGTGACTGTGACCTCGAATAAAGCATTCATACGTTCGGCTAAAATGCAAGTGAGTGCTTTAGTTTTTTATTTGTAAAATTTTTTAGTTGTAAATTACGATTTAATTAAAACTTTTTGAAAATATTGCTTAGGGTATCAATGTTCCTGTGTTCACCCACCAAGCCAGGGCTTTGACCGAGGCTAAAGAGGCGTCTGGTAGGCCTATAGAATGATTTGCAAATGAAACCATGCGACAAAGAGTGGGGCGCGATTTTAGTTGGCGAATGCATAAATCATTGATTTATTGCATATAAGATGTTCATATTTATTAAACAAATTTTCTATTAATAGTAGGCGAATATACATATTATTGTTAATCAACTGTTTATACAATTTGCAAACCACATTAAGCTTTATTGTGAGACAAATAGCTTTTTGCATCGAATTACGACCGGTAATCAATTAAAGGAGTGGTGCCAGGCCCACACACTGCCATACTTTTAATTTTCCTCATTTTCGTAGAAACTTTGCAAGAGCGCAAAATAGCTCATTGATGTACTCATCAACTAAAAAAAACAAAAATTGAGCATCTAATATAGTATATATATGCAAATAGCAGTTAATTATGTCGAATTAAGGTGTAGTGTCATTTCTAATACATATGTGTGTATATATACCCCGGAAAAGCTGTTTAAGGATAACGTTGAAAACTTCATTGCCGTTATGCAGGTTGGTCGTTGACTACGCATTATCATAAACTGCAATTTGCTGCGAAATACTTTATCAGTGGAGTAATAAACCGTTGGCAAAGACTTTCTCAGCTGTGGAGCGGCTGACGAGTTGTTTGCTGTGCCAGCAAATACGATATCACGTTCCCAGTTGCATGCATACAAATGGGTGGCCATCTCGAGGGACTGGAGAACAAATATTGATAACAAAATTCAACAAATAAAAGTTTATTTATATATATTTTTTTTTAACTGAGTCAGTTTTTTTTGCTTAAAAATTACTTATTTTTATAAAAGAATCGAATAATGCTTGTCATGGGTACACAAAGAATTTATATATGCGGTCGTATCTTGGGAAAATGACCTGATCTAGAAAAACGGCATGCAGATCCGTAATCTACGACTCAAAATTAAGTTTGCCTCGGCGTTTTTTGTGTAATTTTAGCGTCCCTACAATGTAAATGATTTGAGGCGAGGCATATCAATATACATATTACAGTCACTCACAGAAGTATTCGTAATTTAGTTTTTACACAATATTCAAAATGTTTTCCATCACAAATCTTTTTCGTTAATTTTCATTTAAAATATAGCCCATTCTATAACAAAAACCATATAAATCATTCTTGCAAACTTTGTAAAATGAATCCAACTTAAAAAAATTTTCATAAAAATTTCAAAAAATTTCGGTATGCATTTTTTAGCCCGTTCAATTTTAGGACACTAAAGTGCAAGTTTCAAGTAGCTAAAAATTACCGCTGATTTTTTAGATTTTTTTTTGTTGAGGGTGTTGCGCATTGGCATGAACAAAATCTATTTTTATATGGAAGAAAGTGCGCAACACCCTCAACAAAAAAAAAAAAAAAACTAAAAAATTAGCGGTAATTTTTAGCCACTTTAAACTTGCACCTTATAATACTAAAATTGAACGGGCTACAAAACTGCGTACCGAAAATTATTCTAAAGATTCGGAGTAAAAAGTTTGAAATTTTGATGAACATTTTTTCAAGTTTGATTCATTTTTATGAATTTTGTACAAAGTTTGTAAGAACGAGCTGTTTCGAAGCGGTGGACTAGTGGGAAAGGGGTGTTAGCTGAGTAGGGTTGAGCTGAGGTGTGACAGGGTGATTGGTGTCATGGGGGCAGTTTCCAAATGCTGGACTCTAATTAGGAACATAATTTTCTCCTTTACAAAAAGATATTTCTACAATCTCGTTCCGTCGCGATGCGCTAACTGTCAAAAGTTTTTAATTAATTTAAAATATTTCCTGTCAAATTGAGGGATAGGACATTTCGTTATTTTACACCTAAAAATTGTGGTAGATTTACCGGGCTAATAAGTTTTTAGTTTTTTTTTTTTTTGGAATACAAATAGCGAAAAACAATTTTTTTTTGGGTACATCCTCTACGTGACTTCAAATTTGGTGTGGGTAGTTCGCCTACCCCAAAGAGAAACCACCAGAACGTGAGACTAATAAATCATGAAAGACTACATTACATATAGTTTTTCCGGAAACTACCGCTACATTGTAAGCAGGGGTGGTTTTACCCCTATTTTAAACATCTTCGGTAGAACGTTCAGTTCGATATAATGAGAAAAACTTATATACATATGTAGTCGGTATCACACATATTTTCCAAAATTATAAATAATGTTACTTCTTTTCAAGGGATTGTTGTTAGTATCAATTTTGAGTCAATCAGCGTCTTTAAATTTCGAAATGTCGAAATTTACCGTTATATGAAAAGCGACTGTAATTTTAGTCCGATTTCAATAATTTTTAACGTTTTGCTTTTATGTGGCAAGCACAATAACCGTACCGGGTTTAGTACAAATTGGTAGAACGGTTACCGAGATACATATATGTGATCCTAAGTGGGCGGTGCCACGCCCATTTTCCAAAATTTTATCATAAACGTATTTCTTTGTAATGAATTATTGCAAGCATCAATTTTGAAAAAACTAGCTTTAGTTATACTGATTTATCGAAGATTTCGTATTTCTCTAAATTATCGTTATATGGGATATGGGCGTGGTTATTGTCCGATTTTAAAAATTTTCAATTCCATCCGTCCTACGTCCGAAATAAGTATGCGTACCAAGTTTCGTTAAGATATCTAAATTTTTACTCGAGTTATCGTGTGCACAGACGGACGGACGGCCGAACAGACAATAACCGCTTAATCGATTTCTCTTTTTATTCTGATCATTTATGTATGTATACATTTGTCTATACATATCTATCTCGATTCGTTTTGCCTGTTACAAATAACCGTTATGTCAACAAAGTTATAATACCCTCGTGCACAAGTGCGCTCGGGTATAAAAAGATCACCGTACACCTTCGAATGAGAAGTATTTTCGCAAGGCAATTTTGACAAAAAAAAAAATTGCTTAACGTAAGGGTCGGCTTTTTTATATTTTTCGTCATAACTCCGGCATTCACAGTCGGATCTTAAAGTACATAGAATACTGTATCGAAGATTTTGTTTCGAAGAGTCATTTTTTTTGTTCCAAAGTTCATTGACGTCAAAAACCGTCCGCTTCAATCAACTTTTGCTAGGGAAGTATAACGATTATTGCAGTAGAACCATCGCCGAATGTAGATTTCATCGTAAAATCTAAAAAGGGAACCAATAATTACTGCCAATATTTTTTTTTTCGAAATTGCCTTGCTCAACTGATTTAGGCTAAGGGGTGTTGGCAAATATTTTTTTTGTAGGATATTTGACATTCGGCTTTTTAAAAAGCACCTTAAACTACAAATAAGCGTGGTTAGTACTAAAGATCTTGTTTTCGAAATATTTCCGAACCCGTGAAAAGTTGCTTGGTAAAATTTCCACAGATGGGGAATATTTTTAGATTAAATATGAGTCGATACATATCAAACCTGCCTAAGTCCACCATAAGACAATTTTGGGAAATTGCGGGTTTTGTTTAGTAAAAAAATCAAAAATTTAATACAAACGTTTTGAATTATTTTGTCACCGTTCCAGCAAAGTACAAAGAGTTGTGAAAGCGAGGAGAAGATGTAAACCAGAAACTTTATGTAATCTCCAACAAACATATTCTTACCCTGCAATGATATTTACAAAAAACACAATCGTAGTATTTCATTATTTTATGCAAATATTTAAGGCAATTTTTTATTAAAAACTATATATTTTATATATATGTATGTATGTATATAGAATATACATATTCAAAATTTTTTTAAACTCATCAATCACCGCTTAGTAATAGTGCTTGATACGCACAATTAAATTTGTTTCAATTTATTTATCTATTGATTTTATCTAAATTATACATATTTCAGTTTGTTTTTCCTTATTTCATTTTGTTTTATTTTATTTTTACTAACCGATCTAAACAAAGGGAGGAGAATCTTTTTGCGTTAGGTTAAGGACCGCCCATAAAAATTTGACCAAAAGACGTTAAATGTTTTTTTACCAAAATACGTTAAAAAATGTAATCGAAATCCGCCAAAAGGTGTTATAACTATTTTGTTTTTAATAAACGTCTTCTTAATAATATTTCCGTTTTATTTATTCGTTAAAATATTTGGCCGAAATCCGTTAAAAAATGTTTAAACTTTTTAAAAAATAAAAATCTACTAAATTTTATTTATTTATGATGTATTTCATTTTTAAATTTTGTTTTATTTAATTTAATCTAATTTTTATTTTTCTTAAATTTATTTTTATTTGATTTTATTTTAGTTTACTTTATTTTATATTCGCGCATATTTTTGTTGTTTTTGAGCCGATTGATTCTCTTTGCGTTATGCTAAGGGCAGCCCCACAGTGATCCTATTAAAATTTGATCAAAATCGGTTAAGCCGAAAATTGTTGTTTTTTTAATAAAACTCTACTTAATTTTATTTACTTTTTTAAATGTTATAATTAAAAAAAAAATTTGTTTAATCTAATTTCATAGTTATTATGTTAATTCGTTTTTATCTAACTTAATTTAAGCATGTTGTTTTTCTTTGTTTTATGTTATTTTATTTTGTTTTATAAAACATTGTTTATTTATATTTGGCTGTTAATTGAAGATTATGTTGATTTTTTTTTAGCTCAAGGCCGGGTTGAAATAAAACAATCTGTTTTTGTTGTTTTTAAATCGTCTATATTTCGACTTCAAACTGAGACGATTTAAAAACAACAAAAACATATTGTTTTATTTCAACCCGGCCTTGTTTTATAAAATTTTGTTTTTTTTTTTTATTAAATTGTATTTAATTTTTTATTTTTGTCTTCGTCTTATTTTCTTTTTATTTTATTTTACTTTATTTTGTTTACTCTCTATTTAACTTAATTTTATATTGCTTCATTATATCTAATTTACTTTTTATTTTATTTTATTCACTTATATTTTACTCAACTTAATTTTTGTATATTACGTTTTTAATTTTGTCTTTCATTGTTCTGTATAACTCAATTTTTATTTTATTTTAGTTTATTTACTTTTTGTTTTGTTTTACTTTATTTTACTTTTTGTATAATTTTATTTATGTATTTGAATTTTATTTTACTTTGTTGTTATTTTTAATATTTATTTTATTTAATTTTAATTTTAAATTTATTACTTAATTAAGTTCTATTTTAGATAGTTTATTTTTCTTTAATTCCTTGTTTGATTTGATTTTATCTTTGCATACTTAATTTGATGTTGTTTTTCTTTTTTATTTTGTTTCATATAATTTTGCATTATTGTATTATTTTGCTTTGTTTAATTTTATTTTAATTTGTAAAATTAGTTTAATATTATATTGTTTTATTTTATTTTGTTTTGTTTTGTCTCAATCTTTTTTTATTTAATTTTAATTTTTTCTACTTGCTTTTCTTGTTGCATTTGTTATAATAATATTTGATAGTAATTATATACTTTTTTTCTTATTTACCTTTCGTGTTGACTTTTTATTTTGTTTATTTTTTATATTATTTTATCTATTTTTTGTTTCATTTTATTTTTACTTTGTTTTATACTATTTACTTATTGTTTTGTTTAATTTTATCTTATTGCATTTTATTATGCTATATAATTATATAATTTTAAATTTATTCAACTTAATTTTCATTAATTAATCTAATTCTATTTGTTTGTTTACTGATTGAATTAATTTGATTTTATTCCTTTTTTATATTATTTTATTTTATTGTATTTATTTTTATTTTTTGTTTTAATTCATTTTATTTCGGTTTATTTATATTTTATTTCATTTTATTATGTATAGTTTTACTCTACTTTGTTTTATTTACTTTTTGTTTTGTTTTATTTTATTTATATTTTTTTTTATACAATTGAATGGTCGCCTCAAATAACGTTGTAACCGACAAAATTATAATTTTACAAAATAGGAAAAAGCTTGTTTACTGACGCACATACGGGGACTTGATTTGGTTTTCTACTTTTTCGGTATAGCAGTGTTCAAGAATCTTAAGGAAACTATCTTTGAACAAATTGTCGCTTACAACGTTATTTGAGGCGACCATTCAATTGTCTGTATTTTATTCACTTTTATTTATTCAGTTTTTTTTTTACTTTATATTTTATTTTATTAAAATTTGCATTTTAATTCATTTATATTGTTTAATTTAAATTTATATTGCTTTATTATATTTTCTTTTAATTTATTTCACTTTACGAAGTGTTTATTTTAATAAAATTTTTATAATTTTTAAACCGACACTCATTCTTAAAATCTCCGCTCCACCAATCGTACTTACCGTCACCAACTGAAAGCCCACCATGCAAATTAGAACTGACGAAATCATGAAGTTCACCAGCATAATAGGACTAAAGAACTCTTCCAGCTGATTGACGAAGCTGAAAAAAAAAAATATTCCGAATTATGTTCTCTCGCTTAACACACGTTCCCCGTCCATATTCTCACTCAAACAACACGCTATGCTTGGCAGCAATTTTATCCAGCCGTCGGATGCATTCCCGTTGATAGTCAGCCTCTGTGCCGCCACGACCACCCCGAACTGTTGCATACGAATCGATTGTGATATTGTCAATTTTTTTATGTAAAATATTTAATTGTCCACAAGTATAGGTTACAAAGAAGCCAAATAAGGAATCCTCGGCGAAAAGTGTGGTCACCACGCAAACACCAGCCCATGCTGTGAAAACATAAGTGAGAGCATAGCGCCAGCCATGATTTGCGTCATAGGGAAATAACATTTTGTACGGAAACGGTTTGTTGATGGGCACTAAGCCGTCGGCATCATTCAATGTTAGCATGTAGAGCTCGAATAGTGGCATAACACAGTACATTGTGATGAGACAGGATTCCAATACTGAAATGACCTGATAGACGCGCATATTACGTGCACAAGCGCGCTCAACGGAAGGATGCGAAGACCTGAGAATGAGAGAATGGTATAAGCGTACAATGCTATTGCTTTCTGATATGCCTTTCAACACAATTCATATACACATACTTAGTAATCCAGATATCCTTAACGAATTGCGCAATCATCTGATGAAATTCATTTTGGTGCAGTCGAAGGTGTAACAGGCGTGCGAAATTTAGAACTCCCATAAATGTAGTGCAGCCATTCTCGGTGGTCACCGATATATCGCCGAAGGATGTAACAAGGAAGGCCGTTTGAAAACCGATAGTTATGCCAACCATGGCCACGACATACCAGGCCCACACGTCGTACAGAAAGCCACAAAATTTCTCAAATGCATTGGACGGAATTCGCTTTAACGGCCACGACCCATTTAGTTTCAACCAAATGCATTGTACAGGAAATTTAAAATGTATTGGATCTCTTAACGGTTTCGGATTGAATAACATTCTTAAAAAAGTATTCACTTTTTTTTAAAGAAGAAATTTTCTATTTCAGTTATTGCTATTCTCAGCAATAACAAAAGTGAATCTCTAAAAACTGACATTTCGCCGCTATTCCTTTGGTATTTATACATAAATTTGGTGGGAATGCATTTTGGCGTTGAATTTCAGGTGGGCGTGTAACTGTATTTAAAGTGTCCATTTATCTTCCGCACGCATTGACATATAAACAGCATTTTTAATTAGTTGATTTCGTCCAATTATTTATTTGGTTGAAAGGCAATAACTACATACATACATACTTATATAGGCGGAAGGAAGTGATAGATTTTTGATGTGTAATTTGAATATTTTCTAGTCCAAAGTACATATGTATATCAAACGAAAGCGACGTGTACACGCACCTTAGTGAGTTTTATTTATGTGCCAAATAGAGCTAGCTGTCAAGTAGTGGCGCATCTACACTTAATACCTAATGTGGAAGGCCCGTTGTGATATCACGACTGGAAAATATTCACTACTCCTTGATGAACAACTTTCAGTTCTTGGGTACCACGTTAGACAACTTAGACTTATGCCCACCAATTCACAAGGGTCGTCAAAAACGTCGACGCCAGAAATTCCCACCTGCCCTTAGACAGTGCAGCACAGTGACAGATAAAATGCAGAGCTTTCCTTCCTCATAATAGTTTTTGAAGCACTAATTGTGTGAGACTTTATTATTAATATGTTTCAACTTAAACCAAATAAGTTGTGAGACCTCTCTCGATCCCTTCGTACCTTACATTCATCTTTCATTTTCTAGAGCATAGAACATTTTTTTTTTTCAGGAGTAAAAGGCATGCCAGTACGTTCTATTCCTGAAAGAAACCTCATCCTCGTATTTTGCCTTCAACGCTTGTGCAGAATATGGTCAGATGAACGCATGCGCGACGATTGGCATTTAAGTGTGCTCTCCCCAATCCAAAAGAAAGGCGATCCCGCCATTCGCCCCAACTACCGCGGAATCAGCATTCTAAGCATAGGTTCTAAGGTCTTATCGAGAGTATTGTGTGAAAGATTGAAGCCTACCGCCAACGAACTTATTGGGCCTTAGTAGTGTGGCTTTAAACCTGGCGAATCCACCATAGACCAGATATTCACAATATGCCAAATATTGGAAAAGACCAGCGCTAAAAGGATCGACACTAACCATCTATTTGTCGACTTCAAAACCGCTTTGGATAGCACTAAAAGGAGTTGCCTATACGCCGCGATGTCTGAATTTGACATTGTCGCGAAACTGATAAAGCTCTGTCAAAATTGGGAAGCACCTATCAGAGCCGTTGTGATTTCTTTAATCTGATGTTGGATCAGATAATAATAGCTTCAGAACGGAACCGCTCATGAAAAATATTCTACAAGAGCGTGCAATTGCTGGAGTACGCCGATGACATTGACATCATCGGTAACAAGAACCCCTAGGTCTGTTCTGCCTTTTCCAAGTTGGATAAGGAAGCAAAGCGATTGGGTCTGGTGGTCAATGGAGACAAGCTGGAGTATCTCCTGTCATCAAACAAACAGTCAGCGTATTCGCGCCTTGGCGCTCACGTCGCTGTTGACAGTTATAATTTCGAGAAAGTGGTGAATTTCGTTTATTTTAGAACCAGAATTAACACAGTGCTACTTTGGGCTAAGTAGGCAATTCAGGAGCAAAAGTCCTCTCTCGAGGTACGAAAACCACTCTCTAGAAGTCACTCATCATGCCCGTATTGGTATATGGCGCAGAAGCATGGACAATGAATGAAAACATTAGATTAGGCGGCTTTTGGAGTGTTGGAGAACGATTTTGCGGAAGATTTACGGGCCTTTACGCATTGGCGACGGCGAGAACCGCAGACGATGGAACGGTGAGCTGTATGAGCTTTACAACGACATAGACATAGTGCAGCGAATTAAAATACAGCGGCTCCGCTGGCTTGGCCATGTCGTTCGACAACACGGAACCCGCTGGTGGTAGCAGAGGAAGAGGGGGCCCCGACTGCGAAGGACCAAGAAGAGAATTACCTGTCTTCACTTGTCATTTCCGATTGGCGTCAGCTGGTACAGAAGAGAAACGACTCGCGTGCTTTGTTGAACTCTGCCAAAATCGCTTAGGCGGTTACAGCACCAAATAAGAAGAAGATATAGAATACATAATGGGGTTTCCAAAATTAATAAAAAAAAAAACTCTGGAGGCAACTTTACTTACTAAACAACTATTTAAAAATAAAACCTCTTTCGATTTTAGTGCGACTTGTAGAAAAATACTAAAATTTCTTCAAGTAATATATTATCCTTGGGAATAGTCCGTCTATGCCCGATGTACATTCATATATGATCGATATAGGCAAATCTCCGGAAACATGTGCTTTTGTGTCACTCACCTTTAAATTAATTTTATTAATGTAATTTTACTTTTTATAAGAAACTTGGGTCATTTTGATAACAAATGTTCCGACTTCTTGTAACCAGAGTTGGGCAAAATTTATTCGAATGACGAATAACAAATGAATAAATTGTTTTTCTTGTTATTCGTAAATAATAAATAATTTTGTTTATTCAAAAAAAAATTATTCGAATGACGGATAAATTATGTTATTCGTTATTCGAATAATTATTATCTTCATTAATTATTCGAATAACGAATAAAATAATAATAAAACAAGTAATTTATGTATATAGATATGTACATATATTTATGTATAAAAAGATAACCGTTTTCGTTGTTGTGATTTAACTCAAACCCCTAGATAGATTTAAATCAAATTTTCGGAGGTTATTCCATGCGCATAAAGTCCTATTAAAGGCTACTAGAAAACTCCTTCGTGGCGATGGAGCCGAGTTATTTATAAAAGCCGTATTTATGAACTGATTTCGTTCAAATTCAAAATGTGTTCTTCCTGCATGATGAAAAATACTTATGCGAAAAATGGACCCGCTAGATGGCGCTACAGTTGAGTTATTTAGAAAATCCCTACTTATTGTACAATCAGGTTGCAATTCATAATGGTGCTGCAGTCGAAATCTCTAGAAACCCCATATGCCTGGACTCCTTTGTTTTTTATGTTTATATTATACGAATTTACGATGTCCCACGTCGTCATATACCCTAAATGCGACCTTGCATCTACCTCCACTTGATGAAATTGCTCGGGCGGCCATTTCTGCAGCAGTAAGACTCAAGGAAACCAGCTCTTGGATATTTTAAAAGTGGCGAATCAGCAAGGAAAGTTTCGACCACATCCTTCCAATTCCTATATCAATGGCCAAATTTTACATCGAGGATTTTTGGCTCTCCTATAATAGAAAACGCACATCTGTGCTCTTCAGCATCCTTATAAGGACTTTTGTTGGGCCTACATGACATAGACTAGAGGTTGACGCATCGAACCAATGTTGTAGTTGCAAGATCATAGAAGAAGATTACGCACGCTTAGAAAAGATCTCAAAAGTGGAAATAAGACCATTGGTAAAGCTCATGACATTGAAAGGAATTTTTTCTTGCATATAGCATCAGAGCGCTATTTTTTGGCCGAAATATGTGTGAGAATTTTTACTTTACCAATATTTGGTTTTCAACGCTATTCTTGCATTGGCCAACGCAAAAAATCTTATCAGGGGCCGCGAAACCAGAGGGAATGGGCTAGTATTCTTGATAAAATAGTAAACAAAATTCAGCTAACTTACAATCCTTGACAATAGAAATAAAAGTAAAAGGTGGCTCAATGTGTTAAAAATGAGTTTTTATTCATTATTTAAAATAACGAATAAATTATTCGCAAGCAATTTATTCACGAATAATTTATTCGTGAATAAGTTATCTGCGAATAATTATATTACGGATAAAATTTTATTCGAATAATTATCTAAATAACAATTTATTCGAATAATGCCCAACTCTGCTTGTAACTTATTTAATTTTTTTTATTTTAATAATGTAATTTAAATTTTTATAAACAATCAAAGTAATTAAAATAACAGTTCTAACGTGTCACTTTGGGTACTTTTTGTACGTTTTTTGAGTATAACTTTATCAGCGCAAACGGAGACATTCAGAAATCATGGCAAATAGTAAATGTAATATTGGAAAATGCATGAGGCGCTGAGAAAATATGTGCTCTCATTGGAAATAAACTGTAACAATTTGAAATCTGTCACTCGTAAATAAAAGAGGTAATATCTTAAGTTCGTTTTTATTTTCACTTTCAGCGATTACTAAATTGTTCTCATTTGCTTATATACATATTAACTACACATTAAAGAATAAAATAAGACCTTTTACAGTTGTGTGCCTTTCAAAATATTGAAGATATAACAAATATTGTCTGAATAGTTCTTTGCGTGAATGGTTTCAAATTTCTAATTTTTTTGATAGCACACTGACAGGACTAAGCGTGATCGTTAGATAACATTCTTCATAAAGTTCGTTGAAAATATAAAAATACGGCCATGAATATATACAGTGGTTTGGCTATATTTTTTTGGTTTATTATATGCATACTATTTTTTTTATAAAAGCCTGGCTAGTTATAAAACAAACACCATATAAATTCACTTTTCACCAAATTTTCAAACTTTTTATTCAGAATTTTTAGTATGCAGTTTTGTAGCCCATTCAATTTTAGTACAATAAAGTGCAAGTTCCATTTGGCTATTTACAAAAATTAAAGTTCAAAAATCATAAACAAGTACTTACTTTCAATTCGTTATTTCACATTTTTCGGAATCCGGGGATTAATACAAGCAAATCTCGGGATTTTCGAGACTCGAAAAGCACTGGCATCCCTAGTATGTAATTTTTGTTAAACTACCTATGTACCGATATTACAACCATTCTAAAAAACCCATTCCCCAAAAAAATTATACTTTAATAAAAAATACATGTTTTTAATATTTTGTTCCATTGAAGTTGATAATTTACAATTTCGGTTTATTTATTTATTTAGTTAATAAGTTTGTCATTAATGCAATTTATAGCATACATT